GTACACCCTGGGCAACGTATACTCATACGGCAAAAATTCTTTAAACCGGTCGTTGACTTCAGACTTCTAACTATGTCATATTTCATCACTTCCAGAGTACCCATCTTACCTTTTCTCTGCCTTTGTGTCTGTCTGACTCTTTCACATCTGTGTATCACTCTTCTGTCCCTCCCTCTAGTACTTTACGGGACCCACCTTACCTTACCTTTTTCTCTACCCTAGTGTCGGTCTGTCCCTTTTGCATCTGTGAATCAATCTCCCCTCCTCCCACCCACACTCTCGACTTTTTGTGCCTCCCCTCTATGAAGTTGAAAGTTAATTAAAGGACTAATGATAACTAACCTAAAGCCTACCATTTGATATTTATTAATTATTATTATGTTAGCTATCAATTGTGGTCATCTTCTACAATCTGTTTCATTATTTCCCACGATTTGGTAAGTTTAAAATTGGTGGCCTCGGGCCTTACCACTTCAAAATCCAACGATCTCTTTGCTGCTGCCCAAACAGTAACTTCCGATTTCTGATTGGAGGCCATTTGGGATGTTGTTCGTTGCCTGCTATAGGCGTAGCTTCTACGAACTGGTTCCTGTACCTTAGTCCCTACAAGCTAATAAAGCCCTCTAAACTGGTGATTTCGGTTCTTCCCACACAGACGAATGCATACACGAATTCTCTCCTACCCCGAGAGTAATGACTATTACCTTGATGGGTAGGGCATCAAATTTACGAAGAAAATATGGAATTTTAAGCGTAGACACATTGTGGTGGATTTTGTAACATGAACTTGGTCAAATCCTAGTGTATCACGAAACTCAATTTTTGAATTTTGCGGTCAATGACTTATTAAATCTCTGAATTCTTACTGACCGATTTAAGACGGATGATTGATTCTCGAACGCACTTTAATATCTGAGGGTGTGGAAAGTACATTGCCATTAGGACACTTGGCATGAGAATCCGTGATTTCCAAAAAAATTGGCAAATACCACACATAGACACTCCACTGCTTTACCACGCTAGTTTGAAGGAATGCATAGATTGGAAAACATTAATGAAGATTCTGCCCATGTTATTATTCTAAAGTGGGGTGTGTGATAGACTTAACTCCACGTGGTGCACCCTGGGCAAACATATTCTCATACGGCAAAAGTCTATTACCTGGCGGTTGACTTCAAACTGCCATGACCCCACTGTATGTCATATTCGACTACTTTCACATTACTCATCCCACCTTTTTTCCACCTTATCTACATTCGTCTTTGATACACTCTTCTGCCCCCCCCCCTCTTGAATTTTTTACACTTTGATGTTCCTTCCCCTTTGTGAAGACCGAAGTCAACTAAAGGGCTAATGATAACAATCAAAACGCCTGCCATTTGATATAATAATAATTATTCTATAGTAAGAGAGGTTGTAATGTGTCAAACTTATTTCGTTTCCACCTTGTTTGAATTTACAATTAGTCTAATTCGAACGAGGGGCGTGGTTAACAATTGTACTGATTTAGAGCGGCATCAAGGTACAAGTAATAGTTGCTACAATATCTATCGACAAATGAAAGGGTTTGTGGAGTTTCGATGCTCTCCCAGGTGGAGAAGTGACTCCCATCCACAATTATACCCTAAGAACCCCCTGCTCGAACCTAATGAACTTTGGGGGTAGCATGAAACTACAGCGTCCAACGGGTAAGAAGATTGATTTCTGGTTTGGGCAAAGGGTACTTTGACCGATTATGAAGGAATGAGGAGGAGGGTGGGGGGGGGGGGGTGAGTAGGAGAGGGAAGCGTCAGGTTGAGGAAGGGAAATTCAGATTGCTGAGAATAGGCGCGCTGAGGTACGATAAGGCCAATTTACTAAGTTTATTGACAGTTAGGGGAAATGTATGAGCCAGAAAGAGAGCAATTCATTGCTAAACTGAGCCGGCTCGTAAGTAAAAGTACGCTGAAATAATGGATTGTTGATCTATCTTTTATTTGCTTTCACTTACTTATATGTATTAACTCATAGTTTCGAGTAAATCTATTATACGCATCAATTCCCAGGTGCTTGTATCTGATTTCTCCTGATTGAAACAATATTGTCTTTCAATTCTCACATTTCTGAGTACATAGAGGAATTTAAGGTGCGCTCCAGTTTAAAATGTGCACCCATTTAACTCAAAAATGGATAAAAGGGCAGGGATTTTGAAGCAGCAGAACACGAGCATTCAAAATATAACACAAGTATAACCATAGCAATCATGCCTTTTACTGCCCACAATTAAAGGCACCCTCATATACATGCCGACAAATATTTATTAACAATAGAGACGACTATATTCATCCCTACTCATTTAGGCAAGTTTTCAAGCAATCACTGAGAGTAGAGAAATTATTGCCATTACTTCTACAGCCTCCAAAAATGAATCTTCTGCATTGACCGACTTTCACATCATATCCGAATGAAGGGATGTACGCACGGCAATCACCTCTTATCAGCGGCTTCCTGCATCGTTCGGGCATTTTAAAACCTGCATTGACAAAAATCGACGTGAATCAATATCAATTTAAAACAAAAAACGTGTTGAATTAAAACACGATTTTGGTTTGTAATTGCCCAAGCTTTTACATCTAAGTAATGTCAAAATCAATACTCGATTTCGAAATTCAAGCTATGCTTGTCCTGCGTTCATCCCGCGCCTACAAAATATGTGCTGCTCTAGTCGTAATTAGTGACGATTTTTACTGATTGGTTTCGGCATTACGCTATTAAAACATTTTAGGGCTCTAGATGATTTGATAGTTAAGTCAATTTGAGAAGGCAAGGTTCATGTTTTAAAATAAATAAAAAAATGAAAAAAAAATCTGTCATACCTTCAGTAAGGTTAGCGTTAACGATCCAGACAAGCAAGATAATAGCGAACATAACCGTCAGAAAAATGAAATGCTACAGCTAAGTTTCTCAATTTAAATGTATTCAAGCGCTGTTGTAAACGAGGATTTGGCTTGGTTAAATGCAGAACAGCTGTGCAGACATTTCAGTTTTTGGACAAGTGCACAGATTCGAAAGCTGGTTTAGCTTTTCAGGACACCTTTCACCGAGATGTGCCCTCACCTCTCTCCCCCCCCCCCCACACTAGACTAACCATAAATAACTAACCCATTTGCTCCACATACAGAATGGTCTAGATAGCTTTTAAAAGATAATTGGAGAATCAGTCAATCATACCTTAAACGCGCGTAATCTACCCAGTAGATTTGGTGCCTACATTTGATTGGATTATTTGTTTGATTGAATTACTGTTTGGCCAATCATAACGTAAGAAGAGATGGGATCTTTCACAGATACTTAAGCAAAATAGTATAAAGTCACACAGCAGGCAAATACACTAAAGTCAAAAAGTAAGCTAGTATCCCAACAAGCGAGGGAAATGATTTCTTTTAGGCTGCAACTTTTTCGAGCATTGAAACAATTTCGGAGAGTTTTCGAGTCCTTGCTTCATCGCAGGCCGTTTTGCCATAGGCGGTTTTCTGGTTGATGTCGACATTCGCGCCACCTTCGGATTCTGGAGAAATGAGGTAACGAATAACTTCCAACTGACGATTACAGACAGCAGTGTGAAGTGGGGCTCGACCTTCGGAGTCCAATTCCTGGAGCAAGTAAATAAGGTTAAAGGTTAAAACATTTATTTGTTTCAAATGGCAGGCATTTTGATAGTTATCATTAGCCCTTTAGTTGACTTCGAGCTTCACAGAAGGGAGAAACATTAAAGTGAGAAAAATTCGACAAGGGGAAAGAAGAGCGATTCACAGATGTAACAGACAGACACAAAGACAGAGAAAAGGCTAGATGAGTACTGTGATAGGGGTCGAATATGACATACAGTGGGGTTATGGAAGTTTGAAGTCAGAGGTCAACTACCAGTTAATAGACTTTTTTGCCGTATGAGTATACGTTGCCCAGGGTGCACCACGTGAAGGTAAGTCTATCGCACACCCCCTAAAACATCGTTTAAGGGAAAAAGGACAGTGAAACGCCCAAGCAATACTTAATAAAAACTTTGCAGAATTAAATCCTCTATTGCGACTTTCAAGAGAGAGAGTGAAATGATTGCTAATGCAGAGGTTGAGAAAAAATACCTAATCAAAAGAACCTTAGCTGATTCGAAGTTGGTTTTCTGCTTTAAACAACAGGCAGTCCATCTCAACACAACCGGATTCCACGTTAACTGAGGGATTATACAAATGAAAAGACAACATTTTGGCACACAACGGAGCATAATCAAGCAGCAAATAGGCTTAATCAGGCCCTGAAATGCAGCAAAATAGTAGAAAATAAAGAAAGGTGTTAATCATTGATATATTTACTTGAAGTGTCAATCCAAAGTGCTTATAGAGTCGAAGTTGGTTAACTTGTCCATGCATTGCGGCTTGATTTGTTTCTCGAGCTCTGAGAGACTTGGAGTCATGTATTAAAGCGCCAGACTCAACCAAAAGATCAATAAGCTCCTTATTTGCTTTGGATCCACGGATGGCGTGGGATAGAGCAGTGAGACGAGATCGGTCAGTCAAATTAGGGTTTGCACCTTTCTTCAGCATCAATTCACAGGCTTCATAGTGGCCATTGGCTGCGGCTATGTGCAGGGGAAGTCGCGTTTCTCGATCAGGTACCTACAAATTGAAAATGGAGAATAATAAACAAAATTTCACGTTGCTTTAATTGACTAGCGCTAGATGTAAATCTAAGATATTTAAATTCATAAGTTCTGTCAGCTGATTGAGAGCGGCTAGGACATTCAACGAAACAGTTTTAAACGTACATACCCTTATAGAATGTAAATCTCTAAAAGGACTTTGCTTTCTTAACGCCTAAGGACATTTAGGAGATGCGAAATGTGCTATGCAGAAATCAAGTCTTCTATTTGGGCAGGATAACTAGAAGCAAATAACAGGTCTACTTTATACTATTCAGTAGCATATCCCACAAATAAAGTATTTATGTGCTATTGATGTAAAATAATAATTGAATAACTAGTAATTATTATTGATACAGCGAATAAAATAAAATTTATTTCTATGAAATACTATTATTCACACTATGCTGTAAAGCATTCGAGGCGAATAGCAATAATTGATCTGCTAATAAAAAGGGGAATTTAGGCATATTCCCCACCAGGTTGCAGATAGTAAAGCATACATTGGACACTGCACTATCCACAAAAGAAAAAAATCTCCCGAAAATAAAATGGAAAATAAGCCAAAAGGCAATAGTCAGGAGGCTGTGAGTTCATTCGCATAGAAAAAACTTTACTTACATTTTCTAATTAGGACATTTCATCTAGATACGATTGTTTTCTTTGACCAAATTAATTGGTGGATAAACTGGACTAATTAGCTCTATGCAAGACTCGACTTTGTTTACAAAAACTTCCAAGAAATTAGTATTTCATAAAGTAATTAAAAGCTCAACTTTTCTACTCCACTATCGGCAATCACTTAGCTCAAGCATACTAACACCCAAGGGTGGAGAGCAAATCCACCTAAGAAATCTACAATTTTCACTCAGAAAATCACTTACGTCGAAACTGTGGGTCACTGTGTAAAGCTGTTCGAGCACAAAACAATCATTCGCCTCCGCTGCACCACAGAGAAGATTAGGTAGAATTCGTTGAGCCCAGAGATTACTAGACCCCTCCACGGTAGCTTTTGAGAAGATATATCCGACATGTCCCACCAATTGATTAATCCCCTCAGATCCACTGGATACGTCTTGGAGACTGAAATTAGGGGGCTGAGCGACATTTACTTCTTGAGCCGGGGGCAGAGTGACCTCGCCCCGAAGGTCACAACGAAGCATTCGACGCCGCACCTTAATATCATTGCTGACACCCAATACATAAGAAAGCTTCGCAAGAGCAGCTTCTGGAGTCATATCCTAATACGAAGAGTGTGTGGGGGGTGGGGGGAGTAAGTTACGAAAATGGGTGCAGAAAAGGGCGTTCAATAAGAACAAGCAGGACTTACATAGCCTGGAATAACGCCGACACTCTCGAGTACCTTTCCAGTTGAGTACTTAGGTTCAGTTGAGCCATGCCAACATTGAGTGATGTTTAGAATAACAATACCTTCACTTGTTGCTTTGCTAAAAATTTCGAGGATATCTCGGCGAGTGGATGGCACGTTACCGGCGCCATAAGTTTGTAGAATTACACCTAAAACACCAACGACAGAATAAATGGTCATACATCGGGGTCTCAAGTCCACGGAAAAACACAACTCAGTCACAACTTTATGACGCTTGTGATGAAGTAGGGCGCATTCTAAGAATTAGCATGTTTTAACTCTCGAACCCTCCCATGTCTCTTGGACCACTTTAATAAATCTCTATGCCCCTTAACTCTATCTTGACGTGTCTATAAATAATGATAAACTTTTAAATAGACCAATATTGATCAATCTAAGTCAAGGATCAAAAGTTCGTGCACATTCAGTAGTGTGGAAAATCAATTCTAAGCAGAATCCAGGTGGTCCTATGTGACCTTCCCTTATCCAAATCACTTTGATGAAGTAGTTTGGAAGAGTTTTATAAAGCAAAGAAATACAGCAGTAATCTATTGAAATTGCAAAGTGGGATATTTGCTCCAACGTAACAAATAAAAGGGATGAATTAAATTGCTGGCAACAAAGTATCACGCGTAAGAGTCCACCAAATTAGTGCGTAGGAAATTAGTACTTGGAGTACTTCATCGTGAATTTTGATAAGGTATCCGATCTAACACTCTTCGAGAAACTAGTTGACTAATAAACTACCACTGGGTCACTTCAAGCTGAGTATGGTTGACTCCCCATTGCCACCTTGTTTCTACATTTAAACAAGTGCAGTTGGCTCAACGTACTGAGCATTGAACGCCTATGGTTGTGATTTCGATAATTGTAAGCATTTTCGCATAAGGCAAAAAGGCTTAAAACTATTCCCTACTTTTCATTGCTAATATTATTTGCGGTTTTAAATGAACTAAGTTTCGCAACTAAATAATACGAGAGGAAGTGGAAGTCTCAAAAACTCAAACCTTCAATCGGTACTTTGAAGAAGTTCTCGACGGTCTTCGCAGAGATTGACGGGAACATCCTCAACATCACAACGTTCCGACTCAACGATTCAATAACGTGCAGACTTCTACCCTCCCCAGGACACCGTCGAATATTCGAGAGGTGGAATTTAATATCGATTCCAATCCTAGCCAGCGGAGGGTAATTAGGTGATGTGAAAGCATCAAAATCCGTGGCAGAACACTTTACCGATCTGTTTCCACGTAGTAGCTAAAGGAAACGCTTATTTAAGGTGAAGAAGGAATTTTATACCGACAAGTTTCAAATCACTTGTCCACTTTAACAAGTGCCACTACTTAAAAGATATTCAAAACAAGATAAAAACCTCCACACTATACCTGGTAACACCCATTATGACACTTAAAAAAACGTCAAACTATTTTGTGATTTGCCAAGAGCTGTCTGTCGCTAAATAATTATATAAAAATCACAAAATTAAAGCAATAAGAGGTTTTAGTAAAAATCAAGGAGGAGACTAAATGCATTAGTTGATTATTGACCAGTTGCCCTAAGTAAAATACAAGTGTTTTGGTGTAAACCAATGCTTAATTTTGTTTATATTTTACGAGATTCAATTTGATAAACTAGCTTAGCTGGAGTTATAATAAAATTACTTTACAATAGGCAAGTTCCATCACTTTCAGTAGTTCTAAAGGAGCGGTTAAAAGACCTGAAATGTCTAGGATAAGATAGTGGAAGTGATATAAGAGTAGCAGACAAGCTCCTTAGTTTTCATTTAACTTTGAAGGATGAGGGAATCGATTATTGCAAAATTTGTCAAAGATTGTCTCTAGATTTTCCTTAAAGGATACTAATATTTGTATTTCAGAATTCAACGCTTATAATTTTATATGTTTGTTGGTTAAACTTAAGCCAAACTCCTTTGCGTATATTTTCTCAGAAACTTACAGAAAGCTACATTTTCATAACATGCTTGGTGTATGAAAGCAACGAGGGCACTGATATCAAGAAATACTAAAAGTCTTGAAATGGCGGCGAAGCCTTGCTAACTAAATTAGGATTTTAAGCAAATCTTAATCGAGATCGATTTGTGTGCAATTGAAACTATAGTTAACGATTTGTACTCGATACGATGAAAGAAAAAAGACATGTTTGACAGTTCAGAAGCCACGGATTCAATATCAACCAAAGCACACCGGAGCAACTTTAGAATACCATATATCTAACCAAAAGAGATGTTAAAGAATGAAGTCATTTAGTAAAGACTGAAAACAAGTATTGAAAATAATAGGAAATGTAAAAGGGGGAAAGCTGAATAACTTCAGAGATGAAAAAAAGAAATTTAGGCCAAATAAAATCAATGGATCCTATGCATAACCAACTACCATTCTATTATATTTAATGAACATAGGCGAACCATGGATTTTCACAAGCGAATTAATGTAAAAAAACTGTCACTTACATTATTATTAAAGAATACCGTAACTTCAGGAATAATTTGGTCACCACCAGCAATGAGCAAAGATCCTAGAAAATTCTCCCTTCCGTCACTCCTGAGTTCTCCAATGGGAATCTGAGATCCAGTAACAATAACAGGTTTACAAAGTCCTTCCAGGATAAAAGACAGGAACGAAGCCCCGTAAGCCAGAGTATCTGTGCCATGAAGAACAATGAAACCGTCAAATTTGTCATAGAAGTACTTAATATGCTTGGAGATAAGAATCCAATTTTCAATTGTACAGTTGGAGGAATCCAAAAGGTTCTTGTATTCAGCGATCATAAAGAAAATTCGACGGTTCTCAACTGTTGGAGGCATACAAATTAGTGGCCATTGAGAATCGCCACTGCTATCACCTGAAACTCCACCAGAATGCTTTGATTTGTAGTAATCGACGTGAATCTTATTCTTTTCTACAAAACTAAAAGAAACAAAGTGAGAATATGAATAGATCTGTTTCTTTGGCCACGAATATAGAATAATAATACAAGGAGTCATTCTTACGATTGATCACAGAACATTGACATCGACATGACTTTCTTTACCAAGAAGTTTGGTTCAGGACCGTATACCCCACCATGTGAGCACATTCCAATAGTACCACCAGTGTATAAAACCAAAACGGTACCGACAGAAGAACATGTTGGATCAGATAAAGCAGCCTCAATTAATGCAGGAGTTGATTGAAAGGATTCAACGGAGGGTACCTTAATTAAAAAACTAAACTAAAAGGAAACTGCATTACTAGAATAATGAGCGAGAAAATAAGTAGAAACTTACAGTGGTGAAATAACTGAGCAAATCTTCATCAGCACTGTTGGTACACATAGCAGCCTCAAGGGAATTTAATAATTATTAATTTACGATGTATATACAGTCAGAAGACCTAATTGACGAGGTACAAAATCGCGAATGATAGTGATAAAAAATAAAACAATTGAGAAAGAAATTAAATACAAATAGAACTTAACGCAAAATTACCTCTTAAAAGGTATTAGCAAGGAGTGCACTATCGGCGAGAAATATTCACTCAAGGCGCTACAGATGATAGAACCTTAGAACGGATCTCAAGGTCGTCAAGAGATAAGCTACCAAAAGAAAATTTTAATAAAGACCGAGAATAAAATTGAATGATTTCAAATGTTTTTTCCTCTATTGAGCAACTTAATTGTCATATATTTATTGTGTATTCATGAAGTAAACAATATATAACCCACAAACAATCAAGTTACACTGCAATTCTATGTCTTTCTGCGCAAATTTAAATTTTGAAATATAGGTTATGACTTGTCTATTGTTTGCAGTTTCAGGTTGTTTCAAATGAAAGTCCTCTTTGAAAAGTTTCTATCAGCGAATCTAACGCTAGAAATAAATATCAACCACAAAGAAAAGCGCAGGTCTCTGAATCTTGTCTATACAAGCCTTCCTTAATTTTAGATAATTTCGGTTTTCCCAAGTTATGATCTGGCCTTCCTTGTAAGCTAATGAATCAGACTCTTGGATTCCAATGAAAAATTGAAGTTGCTAAAACCATATCGAATGACAAAAATGACATAAAATCAGCATTTATTGGACGACAATAGGTTGCTTGACAGCTAACATATAAATAAATTCGGTTGAATACATGCATATATTTATGGCGAAGGAGTATAATTACAAATTTATTACATGTAGCATGTTTTATCATTCTTTCATATCCACTGTGAGATCGACTAGTAGGTAAAAGGAATATCATCGAATCCTGGCAGTACACAGGGCCTGTTATCTTTGTCTCTTTTCCACGTTATTTCAGTGATTTTATGAACTACAATTTATTTTCTATTATGAGAGCCCATGAAGACTCCATCTTGATTGTTCCTTCCTATTTGCTGCATTACCTTACTCTTCGAAAGTGGCCTAATCAAGTATCCTTTTCAGTCTCAACGTCATAGATATTAATGCCAAGGGACTTGATGATTATGGCAGCTGTTCAGTGGTAGTTTAAAACGACAGTTACTAGTCTACACACGATCGCCAATACTTTTTGCAGTTCGAGTCGCACTTTCCTCGGGATACAAAGTTGCTTTGGTTGCCACATTCCTTCACCCGCTGTCCTCAAACCATGACCTTTAAAATCTGCTGCTGGTGCAATGCCCTAACACGACGGATGATGTCCATATGTCATTAAGCTGTCGATCGGAGTAAAATGGGTAAAATGTGGAGTCAAATTGCGGAGTGGGGTATACAATATGCATTTCTTTCTATTCATGAGTTCAGAAACCTTTTGAGAACTAAGTTAGCTGATCTTTCACCTTAAGATATGCCCCCGGAAATCGTCTTCAGCTGAAAATAGACCAGTAGGGTACCAATCCGTTAATTAAAGCATCATTAACGGAAGTAAAAATACTTTAATTATAGCAGTAACTGACTCGACTGTTACAAGTTTCAAATCCATTCGATAGGTTGGTGGGGGGGGGGGGGGGGGGGGGAAGGGAACTATAGTGGTATTGGAACTAGCGTCAAAGTGGAGTTCATATATAAATTATGCTTAGATAACGTACTTCCAATAAGTTGCATTCATCTGCACTAGCGTATCATAGGTGCCGACAGATGCCTTTGAGATTGCACTTTTGGCAACAACGTCTCCGAAAGTGATATCCACTATATGGTGGCATCCTGAAATTTTTAGTTTTCAATATTCGTTGAATGGGGATCGGGTCCCCTCCATGGAGTTATGATTGAGTCTTTTTAGGCCCCTTCAGTTTGGCTAGCAGTAGGGGAAATGATGCACTTAAATTGGCCGTCTTCATGAGAATCAACTCGGAATTAATGCCAGCTGCTGATGGCCATATAAGCGCTGAACATATTCATCATTACTATTGATCAGATTGAGGCACTTTTAGTGTCAGTTCAAAGGAGAGAACTGTTGTCACTGGCAACCAAACCAAACATACGAATCATGCTTTCATAGGTTAGGTTGGCAGGATCAATGTCATGCTGATTTGACCCTAGAGAAAGCATGTAGCAGTATCTCATAACGACCCCACTTGATTTTTATCAAGGTAATGTATTAGTTTGTAAAAATTTATGAAACACACACACACACACACCGAGGAAGAGAAGTTACTAACCGACATTGGAGAATTTTGACAAATGATTATGAATAGCTAAAATGAACTAAAAAATGAGTCCGACATGTCATTAGAAGGTGAAAGTTAATGTTATTTATTTACCCCTATCATTTTCCCAACTGGTGACTAAATATTAAAGAATTTACTCAAAAAATATTGTGACTGCTTTGAAAAGTTGACACACTTTTGTAGACAAATCGAAAGGAGTTATACAATTAATTTGAAATAATGAATGGAGAAAAAATACGAATTCTTCAAAAAGGACATTAACTGTGCCTTAAAATTAATTTTCAACTTTTTTACAATTGATGTTTCATCAACTATTTTTACTGTCATTTAAATTTCAAGTTGGTTAATAAATATTTCACTTAAATGGAGGCTAAAAAATGCTAATCCCTTCAACGTGGTGGTGGCGGAAGTAAACATTTATTTATTTGTTTTACTGGCCAAAATCTCCCGGTGACATTACAATAAATCACTAATTAAAAAATCTACAATAAAAAAATTGGCACATCCACCTTCGCAATGAATAAATTACATTTGCAAATTAATGAACAAGCAGTATTACTATAAATAAAAAATTCGAATTCTAAATATAACAACTTTGCTTTCAACATTTTAGTGCTACCTCTAGTAAAGCCTGACTGACTCAGAAATCTCTGTGGCAGATTCTCCAACATCTAGCTAGACTCCCACACCCAGCTAAGCTATACCCCAGCTATGAAGGAAACAGACGTGTAGCACGGAGCACGTTTACTCAGTGAGTATATTGCGGATAAAGTGTCACGTATGGGGCCTAATCATGGTCAGGATGGCTGATTAGGTTAAACAAACAGAGGTTAATGATTGGTCACTGTACGGTCGCTGCACACAGAGTTGTACGGCCACACCTCCTGGTCGCTGCACACAGAGTTGTACGGCCACACCTCCCAATCCTGACATGCAGGCATACGATGACACACAAAGCGATAAAGTGTCACACAGATCCACCACGCAGAACAGCCTCTTTTCAGCTCATAAAGCTGTTATCATACTTTAGAAGTCACTGGGATATATTAAATAGAAGAATGTGTTTGGTAAATTAAACATTTTTTTTGGTTACTCAACAAACAGGCAACTTGTTTATTTATTAAATTCGTTGCATCGCTGAATAGTTTGGCTATAACCTGACTGAATAAAATAAAATTAACGAACTTTAAATAATACTTTTCTTCTAAATAAATGGATAGAATTAAATGAGCCTAATTCAATTAGGCTACGGATCACTTGGTAAAATAGCTAAATAGAGAGTATTGTTAGTTAATGCAGTAATTACACGATGCCATATCTATTTGGCTGACAGCAGCATACTCAAACTCCTCTAAAATTTGTGGGCCAATCAATTTTCAAGAAAAGTGAATTAAACAAATTTTCCATCCTCTTATTCAACATTAATCTCTTTTTAAGACAACGCGCATAGTGGGACCATTTATTTACTTCAAAGTCCATGTGTGGGATTTCATTATTTTGGCATAAGCAATGGCACCAATTAGCTAATGTGAGATAAGATGTAGAATTTGTGGGCACGTCATCGCATGCCTGCACGCTAAGATTGGGAGGTTCGACCGTACAAACAGTGACCAATCATTAACCTTTGTTTGTTGCTACCGTACAAACAGTGATCAATCATTAACCTCTGTTTGTTTCCGTAAAAACAGTGACCAATCATTAACCTCTGTTTGTTTAACCTAATCCGCCATCCTGATTCTCCAGCGTGTGCACTTTATCCGCAATATACTTACTGAGTAAACGTGCTCCGTGCTACACGTCAGTTTCCTTCATAGCTGGGGTATAGCTTAGTTGGTTCTGGGAGTCTAGCTAGATGTTGGAGAATCTGCCACAGAGATTTCTGAGTCAGTCAGGCTTTACTAAGGTAGCAATCCGCTCCAAATTGTATTTGGAAGATAGGAGGAATGGTACTTAGTACTACATAGACTTTCCAAAGAAAAAAGTCAAATGAAATCAATTGACAATCAACAGAAGGGTTTTTTTAAAAAGAGAGCAATAAATTGCTCAGTTTCTCACACACACATAAAGAACATTTTATTGCCCAGAAAAAAAATAACGAGTGAATTCAACGCCTGTTTACTAGCAAATACAATGAAAATAAATTTAGAGAGTGAAATTATTCCAAACTATTTCCATTTAGATCTTGGTGGTCCGGGTAATTAAGAAGATGTAACCATACTACACCTACCTTAATTGTTGTGAGATTCTACGCCTGATGGAAAATTCACAAATAGAAGTGCCTATTAACTAGATGCCAAGAAATAACCATGAATGAAAATAAGTGAGTATATTTAATGAATACAAGCAATGCCAAATCCATTTATTGAAACAGGAACAAATGAACTTTCAAATTTTATTACCTTGAAGTGTGAATCTGCGCGGTTTTATGATTGACTTATCATATTTTGGTAATTAAATTGAAAGTACACAACCAGCGGATCAAAATATTAGAAAGAGCGTTTAGTAAATTGCTTCTTCACAAGAAGATTATAACCAACCGCAGTGAAAAAGATGTACAATTTTTTATTGTAAAGAATAACTGAACTTGCTTATTCAAATAATAATTACAAGAAGGGAGAATCGACACGGACCAAACACCTCATCTCCTTTGATGTTTGGATTTAGTTACACAAAGTTTGTCTGTTGGGTAGTTTGCATTCCGAACTAATG